TCTTTGTGACCCCACAGATCATGACTTGCTAGGCCCTTCTATCTCTACATTTATCATTATCTCTTTTTTAAAAAATTAATTTATTTAATTTTAGTTCTCAACATTCACTTCCACAAGATTTTGAGTTCCAAATTTTCTCCCCATCTCCTCCCTCCCCCCACCCCAAGATGGTATGCATTCTGAGTACCCCTTCTCCTAATCTGCCCTCCCTTCTATCTCTCCCCCCCTTCTCTTATCCCCTTCCCCTATAATTTTCCTGTAGGGCAAGATAGATTTCTATACCCCATTTCTTGTATATCTTATTTCCCAGTTGCATGTGAAAACAATGTTTTTAACTTTTGTTTTTAAAATTTTGGGTTCCAAACTTTCTCCCTTCCTCCCTCCCCACCTACCCACATTGAGAAGGCAAGCAACTCGATACAAGTTATACATGTGTAGTCATGCAAAATACTTCCAAAGTTATCACTATCTTTTGAAGTCTGTCCAAGCTTATGTCCATTATTTCCACGCTACTATCCATCCATCTCATCCTCCATTGTCTCCTTTTCCCTTCAATCTTCCAGCATCAGGGTTTTCCCAATAAGTCCTACCTTCACATTATATGGCCAAAATATTTAAGCTTCAGTTTCAGTCTTTGACCTTCCAGTGAATAGCCTGAATTAGTTTCTTTAAGTATTGACTTGCTTGCTGCCCACGAGACTCTCAAAAATCTTCTCCAGCCACCACAATTTGAAAGTGTGATTCTGTGGGGCTCAGCTTTCCTTAATAGTCCAATCCTTGTAGCCATACATTGCTACTGGAAAAACCATACCTTTGACTATATTGGATCTTTGTCGGCAAGGTTATGTTTCTGCTTTTAAGGGAGGGTTGGGAGGGGGAAATAATCAGTTCAGTTTTGAATATATTTGAATATGAACATCCAGTTCAAGATGTCCAATAGGCATTTGGAAATGTTAGACTGGAGGTCATCAGAGAAGTAGATTTGAGAATCATCAGCATTTAATTGAATTCATGGAAGCTGATGTGATAACCAAATGAAATGTATAGAGGAAGAAGAAAAGGAGGCCAGGACAGAGCCTTGTATAACACCCACAGCTAGTATTCATGACCTGGATGGAGATACTGCTAAGGAGACTGAGAAGGAATGATCAGATAGGTAAGAAGAGAACCAGGAGAGAGTGTCATGAAACCTAGAGAGAAGAAAGTATCAAGGAGAAGGGGACAATTGAAGTGTCAAAGGCTAGAGAGAGGTCAAGAAGGATGAAGTTTGAGAAAAGGCCATTAGATCTGGAAAATAAGCAATTGTTGGTAACATTAGAGAGTTTCAGTTAAATGAAGAGGTCAGAAGTCAGACTGAAAAGAGTTGAAAGTGAAAGGAGAAGTGAAAGCACCTATCTTAGATGGCCTTCTAAAGGAGTTTAATCATAGAAGGGAGAAGAAATATGGTTGTTGTTCACTTACTCAACTCTTTGTGAACCCATAGAGGTTAAGTGACTTGCCCAGGGTAACACAAGTAGTAAGCATCTGAAGCCAGACTTGAACTCAGGTCTTCCTGATTTCAGGCCCAGTGTTCTATCCAGTGAGCCACCTAGCTGCCTCCACTCAGAGAGAGACTGAGGGAAGTTGGAGTGGGAGAAGGGAAGGAAAGGAAAGGAAAGGAAAAGGCAAAGAAGGGAAGGGAGGAGGAAAAAAGGGAAGGGAAGAGGAAAGGAAAGAAGAGAAGGGAAGAGAAGAGAAGGAAAGGGAAGAGAAGGGAAGGCAATGTGTAGAGAAAACTCAGGCTGAGTAAGAAGAAAACTATGAAGAGAATTGTGTGAATGAATTAACTCTGAGAGCCTACACTTCCCCTCCCTTTCTCCTCCCTATGACCCAACCATTCATTAGAGACAGCACCAGCCCAACCAGTTTCTGGGTTGTTTCCCAGTCTGGGAAGTTTGATGTAGAGTCATCATATGTAACTCACCTAGATCTTACTAACAATTCTACTAGGGCTGGATTCCCTCTCTGAATTTACCAGTAGTGCCCTTGGTTAAGATGTACAAGTTTCCACTTTTGGTTTCCAGTTGTTTTAGAGATCCTGGAAAAAAGGTCTGGTTGGGTCTTGCTAGAATTGTAGTTCTACCAGTAAAGAGATGTTTATTGAAGCTTATAAATTGGCCTCTTAAAGTTAAAAAAATAATCTTACCCAAATTGGTGTTTACTTACACACTAGGTAAGCCAGAAGCTGAGCCCTCCCTATAATAAAAGATGTATAATAAACAGGATGCAAAGTTTAACTACTTTGATGGGGAGACGAAGAGTCAGATATGCCTCAAACCCATTTCCTGAATGTGCCTGATGTGGTTTCCTTTTTAGGAACCCTCCTGGGCCAGGCCTAACTCATGCTAGTCCATTGATTAGGGATCAGGGTTAGAATTCAATGAGGCACAGGCCATCAAATGTAATAAAAACAACTTTACTCGTGACAAAGGATAAATAGAATATAAAATCAGATTAAGCAGGTACACGTCTAAGCCTCTACATTCACCACAGCAACTGGTCATGCCATGTCAGAAAGACATTCTCCCAGGGTAATGGAAATTTTACTAAACCCTCCAACACCAATTCCCCAAAACCTTAAGGTAGCAAGGAAATAAAACGACTGAAAATAACTTCCCCAACCCCTTAAAAAGGAAACCAGACCATCCTATATTAAACAGATCCCACCCCTTGGTGGCAAGTCTCAGATTTTTTTCCTAGGGGTTCTTCCAACACTAAAATAGTTTTAATGCAATCCTATCATAACCTTGATCTTGCCATTACCCACAAATGTACTACTTTTATGTTTATAAACCCTGAAATTCCCTTATCTGATCACATTCTGTTACATCACTCACCTCCCGAGCTACTGAGAAATCTTGGATAAGGGAAATATTCTCCCACCAAGGGGGAGAAACTCAGTACCAGACATTTAGGGGAGGGAGAGGTGAATCTGGATCTCTTTAGGACTACGTGTAGAGGGTATAATCAGAGTTTGATAATTGAAAATGTGACAGGCCAAGGTCCTTTTAAACACCATATATACTTGTAATACTAAGCATGTATGCTGAGTCAGAGAGCTCTCTTGGTTCAGTCAAAGGGTTTTCTATCCCACTAAGGGTAGTGCCTATGTATTTTCTTTAACTCTCAGATGTTCCCTGACCAGTTCAGCTCAATAGGCCACTGCTGTCTAGAACAAGACAAGAAAAGGTCTCTCTCAGCCAGTTTCCTCATTTGCATGTAGCTCTCCTGCCACGTGATCTTGGCAGCTATTTCATAGAGTTACTATGAGTTTTAGATGAGAGGGTAGATATAAATTGCTTCACAAATCTTAGAATTCTGTATAAATGTTAGCTATTATTAATTATAAGAGTTTTGTAGGATGAGGGTTAACATGGTTAGAATTAGTCTTCTCTGAGGGACCTCTAAGAGAAGGGAGAAATAGAGAGAACGAAGGAAATAGGGCAGATAAAGGAGATATGGCTTTGAATGGTGAACAAAGAGCTGGAACCCCAACATGTACCTTGATTCCCAGCATCTGCACCCCCAGGGACTTTTAAGAGTGGATTTTTTGGGTGAGATCATTCTCTCCCTGGTTGATCTGAGGTTTCTTCTCATTTCAGGTTCACAGAGTCCTCTTTTCTCTTGGTTATTCTATTACCTAAATCAATCAGAGGGCAGCTAGGTAGTATAGTGGATTGAGCACTGGGCTTAGAGTCAGGAAGACCTGAGTTCAAATGTGGCCTCAGACACTTATTAGCTTTATATATCTTGGCAAATCATTCAACTTTGTAGTTCCTCATCTATAAAATAAGGAAATGGCAAACCATTCCAGTATCCTTGCCAAGAAAACCCCAAAAAGGCTCATGAAAGAGTTGACATGATTGAACAACAATAAGCTAATCAGAAGGACTTCTCTGATTACCATTTTACTGCTTCCTTTGATAAATATGTTTGCTTATCCTCTATGATTGTCATTTGTATAAGTTCGGTGGCATAGATAGAGTGCTGCTTGAAATCTGGAAGACACAAGCTCAAATCTTGTCTTAGGCTGTGTGACCCTGGGCAAGTCACTTAACTTCTGTTAGCATCAGTTTTTTCATCTGTAAGATGGGGATAATAATAGCACTGATTTCACAGAGTTGTTGTGAGGTTTAAAAGACAGGATAGATGTAAACTGTTTACAAATCTTAGGATGCTATATAAATGTTAGCTAATATTAGTCATAAGAATTTTGTGGCAGTGAAGTTAACATAGCTAAGATTAAGTCAACTGTAACTTTCCAGGTCGGGGGTGGAATTTATTTCTCTCCTTCTGCCCTTCAACAATTAGGGAATGTAGCTTTTATGATCAATCCTCTCAAAAAATTATACCCCTATATTATAAATAACTGGTGATATAAATAGATATAATTCCAAGCCCAATACTCTTTTTGAAGATAGGAGAATGAAGGAATGATAGCCCAGCCATGGCTGTCCTCCTATTTCCCACAAAAATGGAATTCTAGTCTCTCTGAAATATGGAGTGAGGCATCCTAGACTTATCTATATGTCTATGCTAAATATGGACTGCCCCATCCTTTGTAACACAGTCCACAAATGTTCCATGTAAAATGGGAAAAATAACTTACCAGGTTGTTGTGAGAATCAAACAAGTTATTATTTATAAATCACTTTATAAACTTTAAAGTATTACATACATGATAATAATAATTATCATTATTTATTTATTAGCTTCTAGTTAACAGAGCATGGTGCTGAGACCATGGACAGTGTTCCTGGATCCACCATAGACAGTGTTAAACTTCTTGACCAGCTCCTTCATTTTTTTGGAGGTCAACCAGCTGTATATGTCTTCTTCAGCCTCTCATCTTGTATAACAACCTTAACCAGCTCAAGGAAATATGGAATGATTATCTGAGTAGATCTGGGGGAAACATCTCTGGGTCCCCTAACCCTGACCCATTCCCCTCTAGTTGAAGCCTTTTTTTTTTTTTTTTTTTTGGCAAGCCAGAACTTCTTTTGTATCAGTGAGTCTTTTCTGTGGTCTCATGCCAGATCAGTGAGCAATAAAGCCTTCCCTGAAGGGAAAGAGAAGGGCTCATGATCCTATAAGAAGAGGGAAGAGGCAGCCTCAACACTTTCTGCTTTCCCCTGGATTCTGTTCTGCCTGAACAGGAAAGGAATGGAAGGCCTTTTCCATAGACCCCTCCTTTATTGGAGGAAGGAGTGGTTCTGGCTTACTAAGATGCCTCCCTAAGTGTCATTCCTTCTTTGGGGCCTCATGGTAAAAGTGAAGGTTATCAGAGTCCCAAATACTGGGGCTGTCTGTGAATGAAGTATCCTCTGTTCCTTGGTCATTTAGGTAGGAATCCTTCCTCTTTATGAGCATTGCTCTGAAGTGGGACTGGAGGGCAAAGGGATGTTATTAGCTGACCTCGGTTCAAGCATGTGCTTCCCAGTAGGCAGCTGGTGTTACTATTCCCTCTGACATATTACCCCTTTAGGATCAACCCTTCAAGTCCCATTTCCAGCCTCCAGAATCTCCATCTCCAAACTGGACTCTGAGGCTGAATAACAAGAAGATGCACTTTGTCTTGTCTTTAACTTCCCTTGCCCTGACTCCCTCCTGGGCTAGCTGGTAGGAAAAAAAACCACCACTTTTCCCAATCCTGTAGCAGAACTATACTAAGATTTCCCCATCCTCTCCTAGGTCATTTAACCCTGCCTGAGAACTCCGAGTGGCTTAGTTAGATGGAACCAGCATTGTTTTTAGCTTCCGGGTCCCTCAAGACTTCTGTCCTTTCCCTTCTAATGCTGAAAATATCTGTGATTGTGTGAGGCTGAGCTCTCTGGGTTTCTGTCTGGCTCAGAAGCTTCTTAGCTTCTAGGGCTGCTCTTTAATGGGACTTTGTACAGATGCATCCCCAGACAAAGTCATGCCTCCTTCCTCACCAGTAGGACCCAGGGAAGGATAGTGGCTATCACAGCCACTATTGTGATGAGAATTAGCAGCAGCATTACTCGAGAACGGCAGCAATAGGAGCAGAAAGAACTTCGTGCTGGAGATGCTTCTGAGAGGTCAGCTAGACTCTGCCTGGGCAGGACACTGTCCTCTTCCCCTAGTGGCATCCCATGTGGACTGATGATAAAGATCTGGGGCTCTCGGACTAGGCTGGGCAGCAGGTCCCTGGGAAATGAAGGGCTTTGGGTGAGTACCCTCGTCTGGCCCTGAGAAGGAACCCAGAGAGGATGAGGAATGGTTAGAGGGTTTGTGTGTCCCAAGGCATCCAGAGAGGGCAGGTTATCTAAGCCCACAGGGATTGCCAAGGTCTGGGGACTCTTCTCCGATGATGACAAAGAGGGCCAACGAGAACTCTTTTTACTGAGGAAGGTGACATAGCGGCAGATAGGACAGATGATGGTCCTTTGGATCTGCCCATCCACTTTGCATGAAAGCAGGTACTTAACAAGGCAGTCATGGCAGAAGACATGGCCACAGCTCAGTGTCCGACTGGCTCCCTCTAGGTCCCGAAACTTCTCATAGCACACAGGACACTCACTGCCCACGCTGTCCTTGCTCTCTCCTTCTGACATGGCAGCTCCAGCAATATACAAGCTTCTGCTATGGGAGAGAAGGAAGAAAGTAACAGCAGTACTCTTCTTATCTTATTCTCCCCCTACCATAACAATGTAAAGAAAATGTAAAGAAAGGACACTGATCTTTTAGTCAGAGGACCTAGGTTTGAAACCTACTCAGCTTACTGTGTGACCTTGGACAAAGTCTCTTCACCTTTTAGGATGCCAGTATCTTCCTCTGTAAAATGGAGGAAGGAGCATTGGATTAGAGGAAGCACTGTCCAATTCTAAAACTTCATGATCCTCTTCCATTCTTTTTCCTATTCTTGCCCTTCCCCTATAATTTATGATCCAAGATCCCCTGAATCCTCTGGGCTCTCTGGAGGAAGGAGTGGTTCTGGCTTACTAAGATGCCTCCCTAAGTGTCATTCCTTCTTTGGGGCCTCATGGTAAAAGTGAAGGTTATCAGAGTCCCAAATACTGGGACTGTCTGTGAATGAGGTATCTTCTGTTCCTTGGTTATTTAGGTAGGAATCCTTCCTCTTTATGAGCATTGCTCTGAAGTGGGGCTGGAGGGAAAAGGGTGAACCAGCTGACCTTGGTTCAAGCACATGCTTCCCAGTAGGCAGCTGGTGTTACTATTCCCTCTGACATATTACCCCTTTAGGATCAACCCTTCAAGTCCCATTTCCAGCCTCCAGAATCTCCATCTCCAAACTGGCCTTTGAGGCTAAATAACAATAAGATGCACTTTGCTTGTCTTTAACTTCCCTTGCCCTGACTCCCTCTTGGGCTAGATGGCAGGAAAAAACCTCCAGTCTTTTAAAAAAAAAATATATATATATATATATACATTTATTATTTAACACCAATTGTTATTTTGTTCAGTCATTTTTCAGTCATATCCAACTCTATGACCCCACTTGGGGTTTTCCTGGCAAAGATAACTAGAGCCGTTTTCCTTCTCCAGCTCATTTTACAGATGAGATACTAAGGGAAACAGGGTATGTGATTTGACCAGACTCACATGGCTAGTAAGTGTTTAAGGCCAGATTTGAACTCAGGAAGATGAATCTTCCTGACTCCAAGCTGAGCACTCTACCCACTGTGTCCCTTAGCTGCCTTTTTTAAAATCATCTATTCAGATGACCCAAATCAATATATCCCACCTAATTGCTTTCTTGAACTGGTGACATCAATTGCCACTTGGCCATTCCCATCTAAATTTCTCAAATTCAGGTTCTAATCACCTCCTTCCTATTCTAAAAAGTCTTTTAATTAGTCTCCTGGCTTCAGATCTTTCCCATTAATCATTCACAAAGCTGCCAAAATAATATTTCTAAAATAAGTTTGACTATGTCACTTCCCTACTCAAAACCCTTTAATGGTTTCCTAATGCCTCTTATGGCAAAATTATAAGCTCTTGGGTCTAATCATGGGGGCTGACCACTAAAATATATCCCTTTGTTTGTTACTTCTTCATGGAGTTAATCCTGGAAAATGTCCTACTATAGAAGTGAAACAGAGAACTGGGAAATCTCTTTACAGTAAGTGTCTCTGACAACAATCTCATATTAAAGATGAATTGGATATGGATTCAGATTTATAGGACTAAGAACCATTCCCTGAACAATAAATGGCCAAAAAATATGAATAAGCAGTCTTTAGCAGAAAAAATCCAAACTATTAACAACTGTATGCTCCAGATCACTATTAATAATTAGAGAAATGCAAATTAAAGTAACTCTGAGGTTGCCTCACACCTATCAGATTGGCAAAAATGGTGAAAAAGGAAAATGAAAAATATTGGAAGGGTTCAGAGAAAATAAGTACACTGATGTGTTTTTGGTGGTGCTGTGAATTGGGACAACCATCTTTGAAAGCAATTTGGAACTTTTGCCCAAAAAGTTACTTAAAGAGTGCATTCTCTTTGATCTAGTGATACTACTACTAGTCCTGTACTCCAAAAAGATCTGAGGAAGAAGAAAAAGACCAACATGTACAAAAATGTTTATGACAGCTCTTTTTGTAGTAGTTCCAAACTGGAAAGTAAGGGTGTGCCCACCTACCAGGGAATGGCTAAACGAATGATGATATGTGAATGGAATGGAATGGAATATAATTGTGCTAAAGTAATGATGAAATAGTTTCAGAGGAAATGGGGAGGCCCTTTATAACCTGGTGCAGAGTGAAGTGAGCAGAACTGGGAAAAAAGTTTATATAATGACAAAATATTATAAAGGAAAATGAATTTGAAAGCATTTAGAACTCTAATCAATGATAACCAGAAGTGGGGAACCTGTGGCCTTGAGGCCACATGTGGCCTTCTAGGTCCTTGGGTGAGGCCTTTTGACTGAGTCCAAGTTTTACAGAACAAATTTTTTTTATTAATTTATTTTGATTTATCAACCATCACTTCCATAAGCTTTTGAGTTTTAAATTTTTCTCCCAAAAAAATTTAAAAAAATTTTTTTCTCCCCCTCCCTCCCTCCGTCCCCAAGATGGCGCACAATCTGATATAGAACAAATTATTTTATTAAGGGGATTTGTTCTGTGAAGTTCAGATTCAGTCAAAGGGTCACACTTGAGGACCTAGAAGGCCACATGTGGCCTTGAGATCACAGGTTCCCCACCCCTGGATAAACCACTACGCCAGAGGACTGATGATGAAACATGACACACATCTCCTGCTAGAGAACTGATGGACTTAAAATGCAGAAAAAGACATGCCTTTTTGGACCTGGACTATGTGGGAATTTGTTTTGCTGGACTATGCATACATGTTAATAGAATCTTCTTTTTCTTTTTTATTGGTCAATGGGGGTGGGGTAGGGTGGGAGAATAGTGAGAAGGAGAGATAATAAATGCTTGCAAAAATAAGCATTTTAAAAAGTCACAAGGAAAAAAAATAATCTCCCAATATACTCTTGGCATGACTCATGCTTTGAGTCTATTTCTCCCAAAGTGGGCAAAATAGGTTTCCAGTTCTTGTATACATACTCAAGAGGTTAATCTCAAAAATCACACACTACTATTAGACAAAAAGACAATCAAGAACATGTCAATAATCACTTACCCATGTGCCTGCTTGCCTATCTTTAGAAAATCTTTATAAGAATAATCTATATATATTGTTATTTTTAATAAGATGGCATAAGAAATGGCACAAAGAGAATCCTGCAAATATTCTCTAACAGATTACATTTTTATAGTTATACAATTGACTAAAGGGCGCAGAAAATATAAGATCCCACTTGTTCTTATTGCTTATTTACTATTTAAAAAAGGAATTGATTCAATAAATCAAAATGCCACCTTGAAGGCTCTCCAATAAGATGATTTCTAGGCATGTTTTAAAATCATACAAAATTCCATAAAAACATAAAACAAAGGACACATTTTGCTTGAAGACCTGATTATTAATGTCAAATGAAACATAAAACAAGAAGATATATGCTCAGCAGAGGTATATGCAACCATCATGGAGGAGATAGCACAAAGTCTACTTGAAGAACAGTCAAAGCTAAAACCAAGAACCTCAGGAATAGTAGGAATAGTAGTCCCTCCAGACCACTAACCCTTCTTCCGGCCTGACCTCCTTAGCCATCATGGAGGGGAGCAAGCCCTATGTAGGAGCAAGTCTGCCACTATCAATACCAACTACTAACTGACTGCTACCATCAGTCAGGTAAACCCAAGAGCCTCAGGAATAGAGACAACCCATCCCCCAGAATACAAACTGGCTGTCACCCTATAACTCTTGAGAAGTTGCAACTTGCCAGTACTGTAGTAGAGACCCCAAGAAAGGTCCCCAGTTCACTGAATGGATCCCCTGTGGAGGATTTTTGAGAGAACATGGACATATGCATATGTAACTCCAGTCCCCAAGACCCCTGCTATGGGACTCTCTCTTTATCAGTAGAGATGAAGGCTCTGCCCTACATGAGAGGCAGGATGGAGCTGGCAAAAGGTGAGAGCTTCAGCTTTCAGCCAGTCTCCTTTGAAGACTTAGAAAAGACTCTGGGAAGAAATGGGAGGAGCTGGCAGTCTATCTCCTGTTTGCTGCACTAGAGACTTTGGAGAGTTCCCGTTGGGTGAGATCTAGGACTTTCTTAATTGAGCTAAGTCATCTCATTATTTCATTCTGAATTATCTCGTATATATTCTCCTATGTATACCTTCACTGATTTCTGGTTTTGCTATGAATTGGATAAATGGGTTTCTTTGATATTTACAACGTATGCCCATTGTGGAACTATTATTTGGTGGGAAAGGGGGCCAAGCCTTAGATATAGAGCTTGGGGTCCTGCTTACCTCCAAAATGACACAAGTCTCCAAAGTTAGATTGAACCTGATCATATCCCCTAGACAAATAATATTTAAGGGAGCAGGTAGATACAATTCTAGCTCTATACCCCTTTTCTTTGTGAGTAGAGTGGTGGCCTCTGGCCCCAACTTCCTGCTTCCCCTTCTGGCAGGAGTGAGTCTTCCTTAGCGAAGGGTGCAGGAACTGATATGAAGGGGCTAATCTGGGTTCTGAAGAGTTGATTTCCAATCGACCCTCAAGTGCCCAAACTCTTTTCAGGAGCACCACACATCTTTAGTGATCACTTGTTTAATTTTGTATTGCTCTCAGTATTGTATGGATCCATGGGGAGAAATTGATTTTCACTGAAGGTGAGAGGTTGATTTCCAATTGACCCCAAGTTCGAAGTCCATTTTGGGAGAGCCTTACATATTTCAGAAGATCATCTAGGTCTAGGCCTCTCTGAAGAAGAAAGCCAGCTTAAAAAAAAGTTTTATTTTTTTATTGATATGGTTAGCTATTTATTTTTTATTTTCTTAATTATTTTGGCTTTGGACAGGCTTCTACAAACATCAAGGTAGGCGTAAGCCTATAGAAACTTCACAATTTTTTTTGCTTATTAATTTGGTATACCTGTGTTTTGGGGAGGTGAGTTTAATCTCTGGGCTCTTCAGCTATGAGAGGCCTCACAAAAGCCTGTTAATATTGTGAGAGTCTGAGAAGTGTGTATCAGGGATATTTTTAGAACACTTGGCTCCTACCTTAGGTTTCTGACTGATGGACCAGCATGACCCAAGCTCAATCCAAAGAAGTTGTGGTCACCTGAATCAATGAATATTCTTCCCCTGCTATGGCTAAGTCAAACTCCTTTCGTTAATTATAAGTGTTCTACAAGTGTCACATTTATTTCCATCTCAAACCTGAGTTACCAG